AACTATAATGTTGACAAGAAACCCCTGTGGTGTGGGGGACTGGAAGGGTCTCCCAACTCCACACTTTTGGGAGGAACACAGTTGACAAGAAACCCCTGTGGTGTGGGGGGCTGGAAGGGTCTCCCAGCCCCACACCTTTGGGAGGAGCACAGCCCACCCTCCTCCTCCTCCTCCGATGCCAGGAAATGGCTCTTGCTGGGGGCAGGACACCAGACCTCATCCTGATGGTGTGATTTGATTTACTGACCTGGTTAGGTGTGTGGTACATCCTTTGTGGTATGAAATGCTGCCGAGTTGTTAGTGACTTGACCCAGGGAGTCAGGCACAGAGAAGTGAGCAACAAATGGAAATCTAATGGTTTTTTTCCTGCAGTTTTGATGGGTTCTCTGGTGTTATTGCTGTTCAGGCCTGAAATCAAGGCTAGGCTTGCCATGCTGCAGTGTGAAATGGACAGGGTGTGTTATAACAGTGAGCTCAGGGTACTAAAAGTAGAGCAGAGGAAAATCATCACCCAAGTTGCCTGGGCACCCTCCTCTTCTCTGGGAGCAGAGCATCCCTCATCCAACTGCCCTGCAGGCTTCAGCATTCCCCTTTTCCTTCTCTTTTCCCTGCAGTCTTTATCCATGCAGTGCCTGAACCTCCTGCAGTAAGTGCTAAAAGCTAAGGCAGAGTAGATGAGTTCTTTAAAGGCCTATTAACTGCTATTCCTGCCAGGAAATCACTTTGTGTTGGCTGCCTCAACAGAAGCCAAGGCTTAGAGCTGTGCCTTGCTGTGCCTGTGATGAGCTTTGATCACCCACAGCGAGACTGGGATAAAGCAAAATGCCTTGTGGGAAGTGCCACTGGCTCTTGTGCACACACTGAGGACAAATGGTGAGGTGGGAAAGGTATTTTGAGCATGGAAACAGGAGCCTACATAGGTTTAACTTGTAAGAATGGGCAACTTCAGGTATAGAATATATAGATATGTCAACCTGTGTTTGAGCTTCTGACCCACTCTGTTCAAAGGAAAAGGCTTGAAAAACACACTGAATACCTTTGCATTTTGCAATGCAGGTGTTTGGGGGTTATTGCACAGCTTCAGGTCTTCACAAGTTGTCTGTGTCCTCTCTCCACTAACAGAAAACCCAAAGCTGCTGCTGTTTTTTGTCACCTGTTAAATCAACCTCTTTTAAACACGCACTGACCACAGCTTTGCTCCTAGGCACCATCCAGGAGCTCTTAGGTGCAGGATTAAAGTCTTAAAGAGTTAGTTTTTAGGCAGATTTGTGCAGGAGGAAAGATTTGGCTGTTGAAAGCCTTTTCAGTTTGACTTGAGCTGTGCTGGTGCACACTCAGAGCACATCTGAATTCAGTGTATCAAACTGCCAAGCAAACACAGTGAGACTTACGGAGAGAAAGGGCTAAATGAATGGAAGGTGTGGAAAATGGGTTAGATTTCTGGGCCAAGTGCACAAAATTCCAGGTGCAGATCAAAAAGCCTCACTTGTTCATGTTTAATAGATGATGTTTTTGCCTCTCAGAGCCTCGTGCTGTGCCTGTGTGTGTACACTGCACTCACGACCTGATTTGTTAGTCTGAATAATTAGCTGCTGTTGTCAAAGCATTTGTGCATCTCTGCTTTGGGATGTGACTGATGAATTTCCTATGCGAGTTGATTCTCGTCCAAATATTTTCCCTGTGATGTTCTCCGTAAGTTTCCTGACGGATTTATGTCTTTCAGATTCTTCCATTTGGGTTTCTGTCAGTGCTAACCATTCCTCCTCCCACAGCTGCATGTGGTCACACAGAGCAGGGGCACAGAATAGCCCTTTGCATCCCTCTGGATGTTCACCTGCAGCTCCATGAGGTGATAGTTATGCAGAGCAGAGATGAAGTGCAGCTCACTGGAGTTCACTGCTGAGGGATAGGTGGGTTAGGCATGAGGTGTGAGGATGGAGCAGAGGAATGGTGAAATATGTGGTGAGACACAGAGGAGGAAGAAGAGCTCTGAGTTGAAGCTTCTCCGTAAGCAACTTGCTGAGGCCAGTGAGTTCCTAGAACTGGTTTAGGGAAGTGCCACTGCAGGTCACCTTTGTTGTGAGTACAAGAGAGGCCAAGCACAAATGCAGCAGGAGATAAGAGATGTTGGAGTAGGTTTTGCTTTGCTGTTTGCTTAAGCTGAAATGAGGTGTGATTTCAGTGGAGTTAATTGTTCGGCTGTTAAAGGAAAGGAAAAAAAAGAGAGGGTTTTTAGAACTGCCCTGAAGGAGTCTGAGCTGGAAGGAAAAACCTTCCCTGGCTCAGGCCTGGAACTCTGGGACACATCTTCCCCTGCTGAGGCAAGCAGGGAGGGGGTGTCAGTGCTGGGAACTGTGTCAGAACAGGAATTGGGGTGTCCTGTCACACAGCAAACAGGCTGAGGCATTGCCATGGAGATAAGGAAATTGGGGGAAGCAGTGAACCAAGAGAGTGGGATGGAGGGACAGGATGGGATTCAGGGTGACTTGGTCTGCCTTGAGGGGCCACAGTTTGTGTTGCCTGTGTTGATAAATTAAGGCATTTGCTCATGTAGCTCATTTTCCCTGCTCATTCCTTTCTTCTGCTAACATGTGCCTAATCCAGCCATTGCAGCTGAGCTGTAGCATTTCATCAGGCTCCTGGTTCTGGCTGTGTTTCTGTGGTGATCTCTGTGTTGTGCCTGTGACAGCTCTTTGCACACAGTGTCACAGCTTTCCTACACGCATTACCCACTTCTCTCCCTTGTGGAGGCTAATGAGGCAGTGCTGAAGAGAAACCTTTGAATCGCAGATATCAGTCAAGGCAGCTGCAGGATCTGGAGGGGAAAGATCCATTTCCAGGCCTAGAAAATGTATACCTGATATTTTTAGCTTGAATGAATAGGTAACAGATTCTTGCTTCAAAACTGAGGAGGGGTAGGGAACTCTTTTCTGCTTATTTTCCCCTCCTGAGTTTGGAAAATGAAGTCAATGAGGACAATTTTCAGGTTCTTCACAGGCTCAACTATTAGACTTTTCACACTAAGCTTTTAGTCTGTTATTGGCATGCCTAAAAACACCAAAATGCCTCGGTAAAATGTTGGTTTGAGAGAACAAAGCAAATGTGGATGGGTTTGGATGCTTATTTATAGCCATGGATTGCTGCTGTTTGTTGCCATCACATTTAATTGGAAATAGGCTATGTAACAGATCTATAGATACAAAGCGATGTAAATGTATCTGTGTGTGTATATATTTGTTGGTTTGTGCTCAGTTTCCTGGTTGCTGGTCCCTGTGGAAGGTCTGGTAGCTGCTGAGGGTTGTCTGTTCCCAGGGCTGGGAACATTCCTTTGGAAGTTGTCATGATGCTGCAAGTGCACAACCAAGAGAAGCAAAGAAAATGCAACTGGTTTTGGTGCTGCTGTGATAGAAAACAGCCAAGTTTGCTCACAAGGCAGTGGTCCTGGAGCAGTGTTTAAGTGCTCATCTTAGCTGATTTTGGTCTGCTTGGGGAATAAAGAAGCTGATTTAACAACAAAGTATCAGCACTTTTGACCTTTCTGTTAACTGTTTGAGGTATCTTTGGTCCTTGGGAAGTGTTTCATAGGGGCTGAGACGACCAGTGGTTTGCAGAGTTGCCTCTGCCGTGGGGAGATTGTTCTGATTGACGCTGAAGTCTGTTAGATGACTGAAATTCAGGGTGTTTGCTGCTTGCCTAGCTGGATATTTTCAAGGGGTAACGGCCAAACTGTTCTCTGTTGCAGACTGAGGGAAGTACATCCCCTGACTCCTGTGCTTGCTTAATGTGGCTTCCCCACGAGAGCTGAGTGTGTTGTTATTAAGGCTTTAAACCCACTGGGTAACCAACAATTTCTGCTGAAGGAAAGATCCTGCTGCCCACAGCCCAGCTCAGCTGTGTCTGAGGAGCATATTTAGAACCTATTCATGCTTCATAGTGAAAGTAGGGTGTTGTTGTTTGTGTTTTTTTTCAGGGGAGAAATGTGGTGGCTCAATTTGTTGATATGGTTCATTGTACAATGTTCACAGGCTCCAAGGAAGCAGCAGTTGGGGCATCAGCATCAATTGACTGAGTCAGCTGTGTGGCCATCCAGCTCCTTATCTCAACCTCCTAATCCTTGGCAGCCTCTTTAAAATGGAAAGAGAAGTTTGGGAGGTTTTTTTTCCCATGTGTTTTGCAGAGGCTTTTTTAGGCCTAGAATTCTTTTAATGTCAGTCAGGTTTGCTGTTTGAGTTTTCATCCACTGTGTGACTTTCTCCTGACTGAAACTGAGCCTGTCTCTTGCTGGAGGCACTGCTGAGGTCAGATGGGATTGGAGATGTCCCTTCCCGAGGTTGGTTTCTGCACAGCCCCTGAATGGCAAAGCTGAAGGCTAAAACACAGTTGGAGAACAAATGACTTTGTTTACCAGCTGGGTTTACGGGAAGTAGGTATTGAAGGTTGCACTGTAGGGAACTGCTCAATTCCCCTTGAAGGTTTCACAAGGTTTTATGGAAATTGCTTACTGCAAAAGGACTTTAAATTCTTCTTTTGCTTTTTCTTCCCCACGTGACTCGAGCTTTGCACTCTGCAGTGCTGCATTGTTTGGTACCTGTAATTCCCTTAAACCTGGCAGTGACTTGGATCTCATTCATGTCCTGAGTGTTGAGCCCTCAGATAACATTCCTTACAGTGAAGAACTTTAGGGAACTGTAACTACATTTTGGACTGTACTTCCTCTCCAGTTTACTGTAAATCACAGAAGATAGAACTGTTGGCACTAAGCCTGTACCAACTGCTGATTTTTAGCTTGTAAACTTGATCTGAAACTGACTCATAACAAGGCTTGGAGGCCTTTTCCAACCTCAGTGATTCTGAGATTGTGATTCTCTCTGGACTTGGCCAACAAATGCAGTTTGTTGAGGGCAAACACTTGGGTGTGTGTCCCACTGAGTTGTGTTCAGGTACCTGATCTCTACGTGCTCTTTGAGTTTTGAAGCTGATGTGTTCTCCACTGCCCACAGGTGGTTCGTTTGTGCCAGAACCCCAAGCTGGCCCTGAAGAACAGCCCACCCTACATCCTGGACCTGCTGCCTGACACCTACCAGCACCTGAGGACCATCCTGTCCCGCTACGAGGGCAAGATGGAGACGCTGGGGGAGAACGAGTACTTTCGTGTCTTCATGGAGAACCTGATGAAGAAGACCAAGCAGACCATCAGCCTCTTCAAGGAAGGGAAGGAAAGGATGTATGAGGAGAACTCCCAGCCGAGGTAATGGGCAAAAATGGCTTTAAATATTGATTATACAACTTGGCTTCAGTCAACGAGAGCTTGAGCAAATGTCTGATGGTTCATAGGTTGGACATGAAAACAGATCTGGATGGGGGTGAAGTGTAGGGTTTCAAGCTATGCTTGACTTAACAGTAAAGCTTTTAAGCTTTGCTTTGCTTAGTAAAGTATACTCAGTATGCTTTAAACTGTACTCTAGTATATATACTCTTATAGTAGAGTTTTAAGCTATACAATAGCGTTACAAGCTGTACTATATACTGTAAGATATATCTCTGGTTGTATGTATAGATATTTATAGAGAGATAAAAATATATCCTTTCTATGTTGAAGCCTGAGAGCAGATTTCAGAGCCTGTGCAGCCTCAGCTGATGTGTGGTTCGAACATTCTGTGTTTCAAGTGTCACAGGTTAACATCAAGTCAGCTCTGAAAAGCTTCCACAGCCCTTTGCATTCTCACATGCTGTCTGAGAAAGGGTGATAAGGCCCAGGATGAGGTTTCTGGCCACTTTAGGGAACAGTAGAATGTTTCATGTTGCAGAATAGTCAGACTAAATGTTGGTTTCGTTGGGTTTTAGGCTTTACAGCACTTTCCCTTACATAAATTCCCACTTGATGCAGATTGGATGAATCCTTGAGCAACCTGCTCTGGTGGGAGGTGTCCCTGCCCAGGGCAGGGGCTGGGGCTGGATGATCTCTAAGCTCCATTCCAACCCCTTCACATACTATGATACTGTTTCCAGAGGTGGGGAATCAACCCTGTTTTGTGGGAATAAAACATCTCACCAAGCCTCCATAACTCTCATACCTTGGAAACTTCAGATTTAAGGTAGGTCAGGGTTCACACTTGTCATTTTGTGCAGGAGACAGAGCTGAGGCATCTCCAAGGTGAGCAGCAGTTGCTGGGAAGGATAAGTAGAGGTAAAAACTGCAGTGACATCTTTTGAACAAAATAGCATGAGCTTGATGAGCTCTATACTGTACCTGGAAAAGTGTTTCTTCATCTACCTTTAAGGAAAGGAGGGACAAGGTGATTTAGGAGGAGAGTAAAGCTCTGGAAAAGGTACATCTTACACTAATCAAGTGGTGTAGCTGTTGACAGCAGGTCTAGTGGCCAGAGATAAACGTTGATAACGCTAAACTCTCAGGATTTTGAAGTAGATGCTGAACTAGAATAAAAGGTGGGGAAAAATAGTTCCAACCACCCAGTGGCTGAACAGCATTGCCCTGGGGACATGTGGTTAATGGCCTAGCAGCTACTTGCCTGAACCACTGGAGGCTGAGAAGTTCTGGCACATGGTTCTGGTTTAATCCTGAACTGTGTGGAGCATGTTCTGTGCTACTGAACTCCAAGCAAAGCCCTGATAGTGGCTCCAGAAGGCACTGCTAGTGCTGTTGGAATGGTTACTGGCTGTGGTGAAGAATGAGTTAAGAAATGGAAGTTTCTGGATTGTTGTGTTAGCTGGGTGAGTATTGTGATCCGTCCCTCATAAATCCAGAGCATCTGATGGTGAATGATAGCTGTGTCAGTCCTGAGTCCAACATCTCACCTCCAGTCCCTTGGCTCTTGAGAGAGAAGTAATTCCAGGGAGTTAATCATCCTGGCTGGTTTGTAATCCAGCTAATTGACTGAAGGGAGCAGGGGAAATGCAAATTGATAGATGTGGAGGTCAGGAGGAGGATTGCAGTTCTCAGAGCAGGGATGGGAGTCCCTGGGGAAGGGCTAATTGTCCCATTTATGAATAAACAACTTACCAGGGAAGGAGCTGTGGTGAGACTTGTAAACACCAGCACAGACCCAGCATCATATCCTGTGTCTTCCTCTGCTTTTCCAGGCAGCCCAGGAAGCAGCAGTTACTGCTTTGTCCTGAAGGGATGACACCCCAGAGCCTTTTCCTGGGCTGCTAACAGCTCCAGAGCTTTATCAGGTCTTTAATTGTCATAGGAAAGGAGGTTAGAGCTGTCAGTGCATGTGATCCTGTACCAGCTCAGGAGATATTTGCACAAAGAATGGGCTTTGTTGCATCTGAAATTCAGTTAAATGAGCTTTGGTTACAGATGCATCCATAGATTTACTTATATTTTATGTATATTATAATTTAAGGTGAAGAGACTTCAATTTCCTCACCTTAGGAGTTGAAGAAAAATGCCATTTTTACTTTTGTAGGGATTAATGACTTCAAGTGTGGGAGAAGCTTTCTGGAAGGTTGTCAGGCAAACAAACAGAACCTGAGTGTGATATTCACTGGCAGTGTGTGTCTATGGATGTATTAAAAAAAAGTCTAATTTGCTCCTACTTCATACAATTTGTGACTTTCAGCTTGCTAAGGTGGTGCTAGATGATCTGTAAGGTCCATTCCAACCCCTGAAAATCTGAGATTCTATGAGTATTTTGCAAACATGAATTTAAACATCTTAATAATCATTTTGTCTTGACTTCTGACTTTCTCCCCCTGTTGTTCCTGAAGCTTCTTTCCTGCTGTCTTCCAGCCTTAGCCTTCCTGTGGTGTAAGCTCTTATTTCCCTTTCACAAATGCCTCTGGATACAGAGCAAATTCTCTGCTTTGACATTTGCAGCAGTAGTGTGAAAGCTCTGCAGGTGTTTGCTCCTAGCAAACAGGGATGAAAAATGACTGAAGGCTCTTAGGTTGTGCCATCATAATTGTCTTGATGACTTGAGCATCAATATTTCACAGCATCAGCCTCGTGATTTCCAGCTTGCCTGTTGGGTATTTCCTCTCAGACATCTCAGAGGTTCTCCAGGGTGTCCAGGCAAGGTGGGCTGAGCAGAATTGAGGCACAGCTGTGGAGAACATCTCTTGCAGCTGCTGGTGCTGCTTTTAGAGGTGGTGGTGGCTGCAGGATGTGTGTCGTGGAGTTCTGAGCTCAGCAGTGTTATGTGTGTGTGGAGCACAGTGTGGATCTCTTTGGGGTTCAGTAGTACAAACCAGGATTGCAGTGGCACCTGAGAGGTGTGTTTGGGGTTAGAGGTGACTTGCACAAACACTCTGTGCTCTCACAGATGTGGCTAAGCCTCTTCCTTCAGTCCCAGGTGGTAGAAGGGGCTGTGACTCCCCTGTTGTCACACCTGAGTCCTCCTGCTGTGGCTAACCCTGCCCTCAGTCTCAGTCCAGCCCTGGGAACCCTCAATGACTTCCTTTCTTCTCTTAGCCCTGCAACGGCAGTTCTGGCTGTGTAACACTGTGGTTTTGCTGTGTGCTGCTTCAGACTAGAGACAGAAACTGTGCTTGTTCCTGTCTTGCACAAACTCCTCGGTGTGACGAGGACTCACTTGGTGTATGAGGAGAACTTGCTGTTTGGATCCTGCTGGAGCTCACTGCCACTAAAAATTCATCCTGCTCAGGAGCTTCGAGGGCTCTGTGAGCACTTTCCTGATGCACAAGGACAGGGAATAACTTCCAGTTGCTGAATGAAAGGCTGAATTTTAGCAAATAACTCACATTCAACTCGTTCCTCCCGACTAGGTGTGTTTTCAGCGGAGATATTGTGTTGCCCCTCTGAGGTTTGGCAGTTCAGGAGCTTATTTGGATTGTCCTTGCTAGGAGGTCTCAAACACAGATGATGTATTTGGTCTGTTGTTATAGATTTGGTGTGTATATATCATAGAGCTGATCAAATAAAAGCAGCATCTCCAGGCTTTGATCTTGGAATGAAATAGTGTTCCAAGTGTTAATAAATCTGGACATTTTGCCATATGCTTGCAGTAGGTAAAGGGAAGTCATCCAATAATTAATTGGCTGTGTGCAGTAATTAGCAGGGATTCTTGAGGCTATACACATTTTCAAAGCTGTTGGTTCCTTTCCTTTGCTGGTAAAGATGTGACTTCTCTGAACCTGCAGGCGTTATTAATTTATCGAGTTTAATTATTGATAACCCAAACCTGGTTAAAAATAGATATTTCTTCCCTGCAATGTGATGTTTCCATTGCTTGATAGTTCCATTTATGCCAATACCACTGCCCTGAACGTGCTGACCTGGCCTAAGCTCTTGATTTCAGTTTCCTTTGGAGGCTCAGTGGTGGTGTTGGGCTGGTTTTTTGGGTTCTGTTGCAGAAAATAAAAGCAGAAAGCTTTTCTTTCTCGCCCAGAGAAGCTCCACGTCGTCAGCTTTCCCCACCACATAAATTACTTATTGCAGCAGTGCTCTTGCTGTTGTGTAAATAGATTATACTTCACATGGCAGGGCTGAAAAACAGCTTGTTGATCAGGAGACAGGGAGAGGAATTGTCTGGGATCGGGAAGGGAAGAATTAGGCTGAAGAGTCCATTTTTCTCCTGTGAATCACATTTACTAATCATGTTCAAACAGTCTATTAGGAGGGAAAATGCAGAGGGTTTGTTTTCCAAATGAAATCAGAGCATTGCAGATGTTTCCACGCTAGGACACGGATATGGAAGGTGGAGAGAGAATTCCTCAGGATGTGGAATGGGTGTTTAAGGAACAGCACAGGTTGTTTTTTTCTGGGAAACAAGCTGTTAACACAAGGAACAGATCTGTAGAGGAGAACGTGAGGTTAGGCAGGGAATGTCCTAAACCCTTTCCATATAACGTGGAGGTGGAAACAGCTTTGGGAAGCTGCTCCATGTTTTAACTGTTGTTCTCCTGACAGTCCCTGCAGCAGGATTCCATACTCCTCTCCAGCTCCAAAGGGAAGACTTAGTAATTTACACAGGAAAAAGCTCCCAGTCTTTCCTGCCTGCTGGAAGTGACCATAGATATCTCCAAAGGGGAAGGAAGGGCATGAAGAATGACTTGGGAAAGGAAAAAAAAAGGTTGGAATTTACAGAGGAAAAAGTTGGAAAACACTCATGCTAAGCCATGAACTAGAAAAACCCTCTGGGTGAGGGGGAGGAAGGGGTTGGTGCTCTGATCTCATATTTTAGGGCTCTTGCACACATTACTGTCCAGGGAAAAAGAGACAGTGCAAAATGTGGAGCTCAAATGGTGCATGTGAGTCCTCTT